AATATATTTTAAGATAGTTCTTTAAAAAATAAAATACGGCCTATATATGAAGCATCTATATTAATAGAACTGTCTCAGATAATTTTCAGAACTGAAATGGATAAGATACAAAATCAAATAACATTCCATTTATCTTGTTCATCCTAAAATGCTCTGCTTAGCTTTTCACTCTGATGAAATAACATCCATTTCCACTTTTATTCTTCCTCGGTGTGCTGTGATGTGGAACTCTTTTGCTCTATGTGTTTTATTAAGTGTAATTTAACTTTATGACTATCAAACCAACGATTAATCCTTACAATAAGACTGTGAAATAGGCAAGCTGCAAAGAGATTTATTTTCTGAAACACAATTCCCTTCTTCTCCCTCCGATTTTTTCAAAAATCATCCTCTGCAAGTGTATAGTTTGCTCTGTACTGGGCACTGTAAGGGAAGGCAGAAGAAATAGCTACAACCTGCCTTTTCGGCTTCCTCCCCTTCTTATCTGTGTGTATTTTATCTATGGTAAATGCTCGCTATTAGTTTCCTTGAGTCAACTTTCTGTCTCTACATTTACAACTGTGTTTTTTTTTTTTTGAGATGGAGTTTCGCTCTTGTTACCCAGGCTGGAGTGCAATGGCGCGATCTCAGCTCACCGCAACCTCCGCCTCCTGGGTTCAGCCAATTCTCCTGCCTCAGCCTCCTGAGTAGCTGGGATTCCAGGCACGCGCCACCGTGCCCAGCTAATTTTTGTATTTTTAGTAGAGACGGGGTTTCACCATGTTGACCAGGATGGTCTCGATCTCTTGACCTCGTGATCCACCCTCCTCGGCCTCCCAAAGTGCTGGGATTACAGGCTTGAGCCACCGCGCCTGGCCTTGTTTTGTTTTTTTGAGACCATCTTGCTCTGTTGCTGAGGCTGGAGTACAGTGGTGCGATTTCTGCTCACTGCAGCCTCTGCCTCCTGAGTTCAGGTGATTTCTCCTGCCTCAGCCTCCCAACTAGCTGAGATTATAGGTGCCCACCACGCCTGGCTAATTTTTAGTAGAGACGGGGTTTCGCTGTGTTGGCCAGGCTGGTCTCAAACTCCTGACCTCAGGTAATCCGCCCACCTTGGCCTCCCAAAGTGTTGGAATTACAGACTTGAGCCACCACACCCAGCCTGTACTTTTACAAGTGTGCTCTATCCTCCTTCTAAGAGGCTCTTCCTTTTCACTTCTGTCCACCAAGATGTGATTAGGGCTTCAAGCTCTAGCTCAAACCTCCTCCGTGAAGTCCTTCCTCTCTAAATGTTTCAGATGAACCCTGCACGCAGTAACCTCTCTTATTCTTGACTTACACAATACTTTATTTCTGGAACACTTAGAGTATGTGGCACACATTCTGCCTTACGTTATAAGCATTGCGTTTATTTTCCTACTAGATTGCAAGCTCCTTGAAGGACAAACTGATGTCTTGATCTTTCCCCTTCCCTCTCGACGACCTAGCACAGTGTAACGCACACAGAAAGTGTTTAGTCATTGCTCATTGGATGGGAACTTGCTCTCCTGTAGGAAATAAGACATAAAAAGCCTGCTAGACCACAAGGCCTCTTAGGCCGATGCGTAGTTTGATTCTTATTCATCTTTGTGTCCCCAATACTTACCAGGTGCTTGCTAAATACAGTTGATCCATAAACAATGTAGGGGTTAAAAGTGCTGACCCCCTTGCAGAAAAAAATGTGCATATCACTTTTGAATCCCCAAAAACTTAACCACTAACAGCCTACTGTTGACTGGAAGCCTTGCCAATAAAATAAGCAATCAATTAACATATGCTTTGTATGTTATATGTATCATATATTGTATTCTTACAATAAGGTAAGGTAGAAAAAAAATAAAATATTGTTAAGAAAGTCATAAGGAAGAGAAATGATACTTATTATTTATTAAACAAAAGTGGATCATCAGAAAGGTCTTCATCCTCATCCCTTCACAGTGAGTAGGCTGAGGAGGATGAGGAGAAAAAGGAGTTAGTCTTACCATCTCAGGGGTGGCAAAGGTAGAAGCAAATCCTCCTATAAGTGAATCTGCACATTTCAATTCTGTGTTGTTCAAGAGTCAACTGTACTTGTTTTATACACACACACACACACACACACACACACGTTTCAAAATTGTAGAACGCTCAGCAAAAGTGCATGCTGAGAGACATTTCAGCAAATTTTGATTAAGGGTCTATATATATTTTTTTTATTTTTTATTTTTTTTTTTTTTTGAGACAGAGTTTCGCTCTTGTTACCCAGGCTGGAGTGCAATGGCGTGATCTCAGCTCACCGCAACCTCCGCCTCCTGGGTTCAGCCAATTCTCCTGCCTCAGCCTCCTGAGTAGCTGGGATTACAGGCACGCACCACCATGCCCAGCTAATTTTTTGTATTTTTTTAGTAGAGACGGGGTTTCACCATGTTGACCAGGGTGGTCTCGATGTCTTGATCTCATGATCCACCCGCCTCGGCCTCCCAAAGTGCTGGGATTACAGGCTTGAGCCACCGCGCCTGGCCAAGGGTCAATATTTTATGTCAGGTAAAGGCTCTGTGTGTATAACTAGGTAGGGGCTGATGGAGTGGTGGCAGTGCCATTTCTAAGCTCTACTGAGAGATACCGCTTTTTCCTTTCTGTCTATTTAATTCTCCTAGTGGCCCTACAGGACTCTACTCTCCTTATGGTGTGAAATAAAGGTTTGGTCAAGCTCATACAGCTAGTGGGTGGGATATAGGTTAGTTCTGAGCCCAACTTTCATGCCAGAGCCCATTTTACCATATCATGGAGTTCAAGGAAATGAAGGCTTCTTGGGGAAGCAGCAGACATGGCACAGCACAAAGAAAGGGAAGAAAGTTTCCTGGAAAGTGGATGGGGAATGATTCTGAAAGCCATCACAGGATGTTCCAGTTGTAGGGCCCATTGCAGTCATTTCCTACTCCATCAGGCTACAGTTGAGGGGCCTGACGTCCTGGAAGGTAAAACAGCTTGCCCAACATGACGTAGAAAGCTAGTGACAAGTGACAAGTGTGAAACTATCCTGGACCCAGGATTCCAGACTGTGACCTCACTTGTATTTCTTGTATTCTCTTACCTAAATATATATATATGTAGTTTCATGAATGGCTCGTTCCACTGCTGGGTATACAAGTGAGGTGAGGACACAGCATGGGGACATAAAGGAATGGAGGTCTCCCTTGGCCTTGGTTTGCATTTCTCCCCTTCCTGCCTTGGCTGTTGTGTGCATAGTGAAGCACCTGCTACCTACCTATTCTGTGGAGGTTGCTTGGCTCTGTATGCCTGTGAACTTTACCCTTTTCCTTATTGTGATGATTACAAAACATCAGCCAGTCCTCTGAATTTCCTAAGAGGTGTATGAAATATACGGTTCCAGAAATCCCAGAAGCGCTGCACTATTGTCTCCATTCAGTCAGATCTTTCACCTCCAACATCCCATTACACTAATGGCCACACTAATGATTTGCAGTCATCTGTCAACTGTTCGTAAGTGGCAGAGTGCTGTGCAACTTTTCCGGGAACACCTTTAGGAATGTTCGGACCGACTCACGAAAAACTCTACAGTTTTCAGAGCACAGGTCAGCTGATTTGTGACCTTCTCAAGATCAGGGCTACTGTCTTATTCTTGTCTGATTCTCTATCACAGTGTGAGTATAATACCTATGGTAAGTGTGGTTGACTATGAGGAAATGTGTATGTGTGTGTGTAAAATTGTAGGTGTCTCTTGCCACCAGAATGTAGTTTATTTCATTGTATTTCATGGACTGTGCATACGCATGCATACATGCATATTTCAATCTACATCTATATGTTTTAAAATCATGAATAAGGCTGATAAAGCGTATTAATCCATTTGTCCTCTCCCCCTTAACACTCATAAATAGCAGAGCTCTTTGTCTTATTCTTGGTTTCTGGGTCTCACCAGTATGACTCCATTTTTAAGTGTTCCTTGATGAGACACTGGCTCCTTCTGGACCCAAATTTAAGCAAGGCTGTGATCTCTTCTAGGTTAGTTTGTGACATGTCCATAGCTTCCCAAGTGTCCTTGCTTTAGAGCTCTCTGGGTCTGACCCTATTTGGTTTATGGGAAAACTATGTCAACCAGAATGGCTCAGCTCCTAAAGGTCACAGTGCAGTGGTGGCTAAGGATTCCATTGAATCAAGCTACCTAGGACCACATTAACCTTTCACTGATCCTTTTCTTGTTCAGCTAGAAAGAAATTAATTGAATTAGCAAGCAGCCACACACTGGAGAGAGACACACAGGGTCCGGGTGACACAAATCCAAAATGCTGTCCCTCACGAGCATCAACAAACGTTGAAAGCCCCTTTGTCCTAGGAGCTGCTTGCAAATTCAGGATAAATTCGCCAGTCTACTGGCTTGTCATTTCTCCCCAATAGCACTGTATCTGTGATTTGGGGTGGCAAATGATGAGATCAGAACTTGTGTGGTGAAAAAATAGACTCTTAAAAAGTAAAGTCTCATTTATTTAACCTGTAGTGTAGGAAGATTGGCACCAATTTACTGACGATACTCCAGTCTAGACTCCTGCAAAAATGTACGAGGCTTTTCTCCCAGGTGTTTTTAGGAACAACGTGGCATTAGAAGTGTCTACTTTCTCACTAAGTGACAGATTCAGTGTGGAACCGAGCACACAAGGACACCACGTGGGGCTGTGACCAACTCTGGGAGACTCTGAAATGAGTTCCATGTGTTTATAAGTATGTTGTGTGCCTTCTTTTTCTGAGATTAGCCAACAGAAACCTTTGAGCTGTGAATTAATGTATAACAAACTCCCACTCCTGGTAAAGAAGTCCCATTCTGTTTAATTATCTCCATGTAAGCAGTATTACTGTTTTTTTTCAGAACACTTGGTAAAAAGATGGAATACATTCCTTAGCGCTGTGTTCTCTCCCATTGTTGACACTCATAAGCATTTGTTTAATAAAATCCAAACAATCATTCCAACATATTTATTGCATTTTAATATTTTATTGTATTTTTACATGATTAGCTTTTTGTTTTTTCTTGAGACAGATTCTTGCTCTGTCACCCAGGCTGGAGTGCAGTGGTGCGATCTTGGCTCACTGCAGCCTCAACCTCCTGGGTTCAAGTGATGCTCCTACCTCAGCCTCCTGAGTCGTAGCTGGGATTACAGGCATGCACCACCATGCCTGGCTGATTTCTGTGTTTTTGTATAGAGAGGGTTTCATCATGTTGCCAGGCTGGTCTTGCACTCCTGACCGCAAGTGATCCACCCACCTTGACCTCTCAAAGTGTTGGGATTACTTACATGCATGAACCACCACACTGGCTTTTACATGATTGTATTTTAATACACAGTGGGTTAAAGTTTGTGCTGAAATGTATCATTTATGGCTCTAATTTGATATTACTGAAAGGAGATGTGTATCCTTTTACTCCTAACTGATTTGTCATAGAAAATGTGTATTTCGAGTGGTTAAAAAAAAAAAAAAGCCTCTAGTTTGTACTCTGAAAGAGCTTTGTGTTAATATAAAGAACAGTAATATACCCTGGGTTAAAAGCTGAAGACATTTAATAGAGGCATGTATTACAAATAGCATCTGGCTACATCAGAAGGTTAGGGCTTCATATCTGAAATTCTGTTGCTTGTTAGTTGTAGGAAGTGAATGAAATACATTTCTAAAGGGCAAGGTCAGTATTACATTATTCTGGCAATATCTTTATTGAATAAATGTGTAAATATTTCAGAGAAGTACTTTGAGATTATATTTCTATTGGGGACATATCTGTAGAATGAAAGATGCTACTTGTAATCGCAGGAGCAGATGTCACGTTACATGTTGTTCCCAATGACTGATTTCATTTGAAATGATCTGGAAATAAATGCTGATTACTGGTGATATCAGACTATTCACCTTGGAGTCAGATGTCTGACAGGCAGGCTAGAGCTAATAGATTTGGTTATTTTCAAAACATTGTTTTCTAAAGAAGGATACTGTTTTAGAGTAGCATGGTGAATTCTCTGAGTTGTATACCTGGGTTCATTTGCATTGAGTATGGAAGAACATACTTATGAGCATGCAGTCTCCGATGCTTTTCCATCCTTTAACAATACAAAAGAAAGAAAACTGTACCTGGGACCTACCTGTAGGAGAGCTTGGCATTAGTCGTTAGCACAAGGGAAATCAAGAACCAAATCTGAATGATGGTGTCAGTGTAACTGAGGGGCGTTGCCTCATTGGGAGATAGCGTTGCATCATAGGAACGTGGTGTGATTTAATTTCATAATTGTAAACATTGCAGTGGGTATGGTTGATTCATTTGAAACTCTTGTCCACTTCGCTATGGCTGGACAGCTGAGTTAACATGGGTAGGTCTTGGGTTCACCTTTTTATAATTTCTTTTCTTTGTAGCTTTATTTGGGGGAAAATCTAAAAGAAAAAAACTATGAGAATGAATTTATCTGAAATCAAACTTTGATAAAGCCATGCCTTGACTGAAGGACAATGAACTTTATTGGCCTTCTAAATCAGAGCGCTGTATAAATGTGTGGAAGACTCAATTTTGCCTTGAAAGGGGGCTGGGGAGGGAGCGTAGGAATCCTTGTTTTTGCAGTGCTGATTATCTACTTGTGTTTTACATTGTGGCCCAACTCAGGGGCAAGAGCAACTCACTTACATGGAGAAAAAAATTGCTAGAATTATCCTTGCTTAATCATCATGAACGCAGCAGCTGATAGCCAGCTAATATTTTAAGTTGTGCGTGGCAACAGACCAACAGAAAAGAAAGGAGCATGAAATTTCGTGAAGGAACAGCAATAGGTACGGAAACTTGACTTTTGAGAATTTTTTTTTTTTTCTGTTATGATTGGTGCTCTAGACATCCTGACCAAAGTTTCAAACAATGCAGACTCTGGGGATGTAGCATGTGAAATTCATCTTAAAGAGACTGATCTGTAAAATAATAACTTCATGATTTACAGTTCCATAAGGACAGTAAAAATCAGCTTCAAAGTTTCGAGGGAATTAAGTGTTAGTTGCATATTAAGATCTACAAAGCTGACCTTTAGAGATCTTTATTTTCTGTCAAAAATACCACAGCGTTTCATTTTTAGGATATGAAAACGATAGCTTTTCCTACTTGTAGACGGGTTCTCTGGAGAGGTATGGAAGAGCCTGGGAATTTAGCGGCTCAAATCAGCTGGCAACTGGAGTTCATTTAGGTGATTCACGAACAATTTTCGGCTCTCCTTGCAGGTGTCAGTGGTCTTGGACACCGGGAAGGGGATGGGGGAACAGGTGTAGACCAGGACCTTGGAGATTGGTCTAACTGCCAACATCCAAGGGTTGCCAAGGGTTGCCAAGGGTTGGGTGGGCGGAGTTCCCCCTGCCGAGGCCTTGAGTCTGTCCGGAAAGACGGGAGGAGCTTACTCCACTCCCCGGACGGTCCCCGTAGCTTAGTTCTCCACAGCCCAGGAGGGGCCCGTACCTTCCGATGAGAGCTGGGGCGCTCTGGGAAATGAGGGTGGCCGTAGCTTCCCAAACCAAATCTGTCTCTTCTGTTAACGATCTGGCGCATTTATCGCCCCCGAGGGCTCCGGGAAGTCAGCGGGAGAGTGGCGTCAGGTTGCGCGCCTCTTGCCCCACCGAGTGGGGGGAGAAAGTGGTCAGACGCGCCTTCCGCGGGGCGCTGCGTGCAGAAAAGCGACCGGCGGCCACAGGTGATCCCGAAGGCGAGGGGAAGGCGGGCGCCGGGCGAGGGCCCGGGGCGCGAGAGGGCAGGCCCCGCCGGGGTGGGCCAGCCGAGCCGCCGCAGCTCACCTGCCCGCGGGGGCGGGGCGGGGCGCGGCGCTGGGGCGCGCCCGCCTCCCGCCTCCCGCCTCCCGCCTCCCGCCCGGGGAGGAAGCGGAGGGGCGCGGTGTAAACAGAGCGGCGGCCGTGATGTCAGCCGGTCACATGGAGCCTCTTATGGCTCGGGATGGCTCTCGGCGGGCGGGCAGCTGCGGCAGCTGCTGCTGTGGCTCGGGCGGCGGCGGCGCGGCGGCGGCAGAGGGGGCTCCGGGGTCGGACCATCCGCTCTCCCTGCGCTCTCCGCACCGCGGCTTAAATGATGTATTTTGTGATCGCAGCGATGAAAGGTGAGTCCGGGAGCCCCGCCTGGGCCGGGTGGGCTGGCGGCTCCGGGGGGTGGGGAGGAGGGCGCGCAGGGGGAGGGGTGGGCGCGCCTGCCCCAGCGCACGTACCGCCCGGGGCTCGGTGCCCGGGCCCCGCCAGGGCCTTTTGGGCCACGCCGCGGCGCCAGCTGAGCCCGGCGACGGGATCGGCTGTCTCCGATTAGGGGCAAAGGCGCACGGGGTGGATCCCCCTCTGCTGCCCTCCCTGGCTCCTGTCAGTCTCCTGGGTCCGCTTGGCACCCGGCGGGGCTCCCAAAAGAAAGTTTGCCGGGAGTCGCCGCGCTTCTGGAAGGAAGGGGAGGGTCTACGGAGTTCCGAGGAAGCCCGGGACGCCCCGCGGCCGCTCCCTAGGGCCCGCACCCGGGGCAGCTCCGGCCTAGGTCCGGGAGGCGCAGCGGCCAGTCGGGGCCGTGCGTGCGCGCGGTCGCGCTGTCATCCCCGGGAACTGGTCAGCTCCCCAGGCCTTGCGCCCTTCCCCCGCGGCCGCCGATCTGGCAAGTGTCGCAGGTCCGCGCTGGGTCCCGCCGCGGCCACTTCCGAAAGCGCGCGGGTCAGAGCGAGACGGGAGCCTCGAGCGTGCCAAGACGCCCTCGGCCGCCCCGGGAGCCGCGGCGCACCCCCGCTTGACACTTTGGCTGGTGGATCGAGGTGAGGAGGAACTCGGCAGCCCACGGGATCCGCGGGCAGGGGCGGAGGTTAGACGGTGGTGAGGGCCGACGCGCGCGGGTTAGTCGCGGCCAAGCCTCCCGGCCTGGCCTTCTCCTCTCATCAGGACTCCTTAGCCGGGCCGGGGGCGGGAGAGCAGGGGGATCTGGTTGGAGGGAGGACTGGCTCGAGGTCCTCTGAGATGAGGAGGAGAGAAACGGTGGCGAGTCAGGGAACTTTCTGCCGGGAAAGCCAAAGTTTGGAGGTGTCTAGGAAGTCGCCCGTGCTGCCGGAGAAGCCGAGACTCGCTCTTGGGACGGTTGCAAACAGCTCCGGAGGAACTCGGTCCGCAGCACGCCGCCCGCTGGTGCGCCCGCGGGTTCCTCGCCGTGGGTAATCTGCCCGAGCGGCTTCGCAGGCCCGGCCGCCAGGCTGGGAGATTTAGAGCCCCATCTGTTTGCGGAGGACGCGGCTTTCCTAATGGGCAGCAATTGTGCAGACCCAGACTGTCCTGCGGCTCCTGCCCACCCGGGCGGGCGCCAAGCGTTCGTTAAACGTTTGCTAGGTTGGGGTTTTGTTGCAATCTGGAATGAAGGACACCAGTTTGGTATCTGCACTGGGTTTACTTTCGGATCACCGAGCTTTGCCTTTCTTCACTAGAGATTGGGTGGCATCTCTTTCATTAATTATTAACGGGCCGAAGGGACTGGACGTTAAGATGAGCTGCTTGAGATGAAATCTTCCTATACGGTGTGCCCACAGCAAATTTTCTCCTTTCCCCTGTGGCTTGAGGGAAATGGGATTTAATCATTTTTAGAATATGCAACTCATAAGTAAAAGGACACCTCCAGTGATCCATGCTCTTAAGCATTTAAAATTATTTGGGAGGAAAAGTTATTAAGGTTTCTTACCGACTTCTTATGTTAAAAAATCTATTTACCTCCTCCCTATGCTATTCCTGCGTTTCATTAGTCCTGTAAGCGTAAAACAGCCTCTGCACTTAAAACATTTTTTTGTCTTTAAATTACAAAATAGATTTTGCTATTTGGAAGATGTCAATGCCAGTCTTTATCCAGTTTGTTTAATATAATTTGTGTTGGAGGAAAGGCGAGAGGCTGCCACGTTTTAAACTGCTTTCTCCCCTAATGAACAGTAACCACCCACGAAACAATAAGGAAAGTACATTTTAATATTTTGATTTAATGTTGATGCTTCCTAGTACATAGGCTTTTGATTCTGTAGTTCTACAAAGTGAAGTTCCATACTATCCCTTACTAATAGAATAATGAGAATCACACACTACCCCCACACATTTGTCTTGGAGTGACCTCTGTCTGCCATAAAATAATAGATTCATAGTATTGGGCTTTGAAAACAGTGGCTCATAAGTACCTGGCAGTGCAATTTTTCTATAAATTCAGCTGCCTGGGGGTGGCGGGAAGTGGGGGAGGGGAGGAGGGAGAGAGAATGCATTTGGACAATTAGAATATTTCACTCCCAATATCATAACATCCTGTATTTTAATGGGATTATATTGCTTTGGTGCAAACTTAAGCTGAGAAAAAATTGTGGGAAAATGAGGAATGCTGTAAATGTTTCCATATCAGATTTAAGGGGGAAAAACTGGCCCAGAATCTTATTAAATACTTCCCTATTGCCTCAGTTTTAATAGTTAAATTGGTTCCATATGTAAGAGTTTGTATAATTAGGTTTTTCATGCAAAACAGAAACACTATTTACAATATAGCCTTTTGGTATGTGGATGCATGTGGACGAGGGAGAAGAGAAGAAGCCACCATAAAAGAGAAAGATTCTCTTTGTTGGCTGATTTACGCATGTTTTTTTAAACATCATTAAATGAGGCCCTTTGAACTCGCCAAAGAAGAAAATCCTCCTTTGCATTAGTTGTCAAATAAGTTTAGGCTTAAAGTAGTTTCATGCTTAGATGTAATAAATCTTCACTTGAGCAACTCTAGTCCCTTCCTTCAATTTTGCTTTTGTTTAATTCACAACAAAATTCCAATACCATTTGGATTGTTTCTTGGGCAAAGGGAGAGAGCCAGCGATGACATTTATAATCAGGGGAGCAGCCCTTGCTCCGTTCGTCATAAACGAACTGAGCAAGCTGAGGACTGAAAGGAAATGAGAGAGCTTCATCAGTTTCAGATGATGCGCCCCTTTGCTTCATACGAGTGTTCAGCCTGTGTTTGTGTAAATGGAGCTGCAAGGGCACAGGGAGGCTTAAAGCAAATTTATGGCCAATAATAGATTCTTCCTCTGGCCTGATTCATGTGCAGATGCAAGACTCTTCACCATTTTGAAAATACTGTATGTGTTGGTGTATGTCCAGCTCTAATAAGTATAATTTTATAGTTTTGAAGAATTTGGCCTTTCTTTTTATGAAATAAAATTAGAATTTGATCTCAGATCTCATTGTAAGGACCCTTTCCCTAGTATCTCTTCATTGAGATTTTTGTTACTTGTGATGGGAAGGATTGGGAAAAGGTGATGGCTGGATCTTGAGAAGAGAAAACGCAGATAGTTGCCACTACTGAGCAGAGTGCTTATCTGGCAAGAAGGGACCAGTTCTTTTAAAGACAAAGAGGATTTCTGAATTCATTTATCCATGGGAGGAGGGGGAAGCCGGGACCTTCCATGAAGTAGAGTGTATTTTAAAAGCACCATTTTCATGAGCAGCCTCTTGATTTCATATATTTCAATCACATTACTTGGGATACAAAGGACCATCATATACAAGTAAAGCCTTTTGCCTTCTATTTGAATTGAGAACCGTATAATTTATTTAATGCTGCCCCGTCATGAAATAATACAATTTCTAAACAGAAATAGTCATTTAAAAATATATATACAGTATGTCATCTAAATCTTGGCTCTTTAATATGTGGTAGTTATACTTGTAAGTATATTAATAATTCTCAGTAGTTTTTTCCTCCTATCTTTCCCTCCCACTCAAGTGAAACACAATAAAAATGGGTGAGATCAGCAAGGTGGTAACTGCACAGCACCTGCAATAGCACCCAGCCACTTCCTTACATGCTCTGGGTCCCTAGGAAAAAGATAGAACCATTTACTGGGGAAAAGAAGCGGGTAGATGGAGGGATGGATGGATAGATTTGTAGAGGTAGATGTGTGGGGTTCAGTTTTCTTAAAAATTTCCTAAATTATTAGGGGATCCACAAAACTCCTTATATTGAAGAAATTTCCTAAGAATACGCTGCCATGAAGTGGTTTCTCTGCACCTATTAACTATTTACAGCATTTATTAGAAAATCAAGGCTGCCTTAATCTGTATGTTTCATATTTAATCGTTTTTAAGACCGTAATTAGACACTCAGTCAGCAGCTACACCATTTTTATACTGTACTTAAAACATAGTTTTTATGGAGCCATCCACCAGTGACAAGTCAGGTGCGAGTTGACATTTGATAGTATCTCAAAGACCACATACAGACCCTCTGAGGAGGGATTTACAAGTTCTCTCTCCCCCATCTAGCTATTCTACTGAAGATAACTCCCTTCCATTGCAACCTTTTGACTCATGAACTGAGAGATTCATAGTCAGAGCTTTCTCTGTCCATCAGTATTTTGTGTGACATGATAGAACATGGTTTTTCTGTTAATTGTCAAGAGTGCTATATCCAGAGATGAGAGGTCTCAATACGTGGATAATAGTGTCTGTTAGCCAGTGGACAGAATGCAAGGAATCACCTGAAACCTTTTGTTTTTGGATTTTCTTTTTGGAATGAAATTTGTTAGCCCTCCTCCTATTTTCAGGAAATAGTATGATAACTTTAAAAGTCTTTGCTCCTGTGGGTATAAAAAAGAATGTCAAGTTTATTCCCTAGGTTTGCCAGTGATTTCATTTTTTGAAATGTTACTAC